ATTCCATTTTAGTAAACTAACCAGTAGACTTTTTTTTTAATAGCATTTATCCCTTAATGAAAATTTAGGTGAAATATGGAGCTCTTATGAATTTATATATTTGCTCATATTTTGTGGCAATTTTCTGATAATTTTTTAACATCTAGTTTCAATTAGTCACTTCAGTTTTGAAAAATGGAGGACAAGTTAGAAGAAATTATGTTGAAACAGTTGTATGTGCAAGCTAGAACTTTTAAATAATTTTAGTTTATATGAAAGTCCTCTTATTCACTTCATTACAATAATTCAAACATCTAGTAATATAAGTAAAAATAAATACTGTGATAGATTAAAAAAATTTTTGGGTTGTATTAAAGTTTACTAAAATATAAATAGAAAAACTGAGTTAAAGTTGAAATGTATCATATCCTTCAGAGATTATCATTATTTTTTTATGCAAATAGACTTTTATATAATTGAAAATGGAGTAGAATTTATTTATTTGTTATTTATTTTAATACAGTCAGATTAAATAAGCAGGATGTAAGACCTATTGAAGTTTTATGTACTTGAGCTATCTGAAAAGGCCCATGTCTGCTATTTCATAATTTTTTTTTCTGTATAATACTATATGACTGGCGTATAGCCCATCAGAAATGAATGGCAACCCCCACCCCATAGTATACCTTATCCTCGCATTTCATAGCTAACTGAAATAAATACATTTTGCAAAATCAAGCATGACAACAAAGAGGCAGAAAAGTGCAGTCAAGGAAGTCAGCCATTGGTAAATTCCAATCAAAATTAAGATCATTCATGAAATGAATTCATGGCGTATTCATAGAATAATTATTGGTAAAAAATCAGTTAAGTTAACAACTTCTGATATATAGAAAAGCCAGTGCATTTTGGTAACACTGTGTTCCAACAATGGCTTTTATGTGATGTTGCTTAGCAACAAAAGTTAACCTAATATTGTTGTTAGTCTGTGTACTGAAAGTATAAAGTAAAATGTATAGACAACAAAACTGGAAAAATATTTGTTGATTTCTTAATTTAAAGTCTCCATTGATTAAAGATATTTGTTTTATATTAAAAACATTGATGATATAACAGAAAATAACTTTATTCAGAAATGATTTAAGTTTAAAATTGAATCTATTTTTACTTTCATGATAAATTTTATGTACTTGGTTCTAAGCTAGGTGATCCCACACTACGTCTTTACTTTAGGCTTATGATACTAACACTCACTACACTTATAATGTTTCACACACCTCACACGGCCCCCTTCCATGCCTGTCACTAAAATTGTAATGGGCAGACAGTATTCGAACTATTCTCTTTGGATAAGCGCATTTTGGCTTTTACGACTCCTCAATCATTCAGAAACAAATCCTACAATTATAGCTTTTGTGTTTTGAACAATCGCCTACAGATAATGTAATGAGTTTGTGGTGTCATTATCTTTTATTAATATGCATTTATACTATTTTTATTTGTTTATTATAAAATACATGGAAATATTTCTCAATTTCGTATCCTATTACTTTCCTTTTTTGGTGAATTATTGCGATAAATGTTGTGTCTGAACAGACACTTGGGTAGGTTGCTTTGCAATGATTAATGGGGATTGAAAATATAGAAATAAACTTTAGATAACATATCTTTATACCATTTTATCATTAAATGTAATGCTATGAAAAATTCAATAAATTGTTGTTGCTTTATGTTTATTGCTTTTATATAGGTTTTATTATAAAGTTTTTGGGTTATGTACTGTAATGGCATTATTTGTATCGTAATCTTCTTATTTTATACCAAACTTGTTTAGCAGAAGCTTTATAACTATACATATAATTTTTGTATTTTTTTTTTAACATGCATAAAACAGTTTATTTCATTAGTTTTATAAATAGGTTAGCTAGACAATATCCTAAACTCATATTAGCATTAACTTTCTCTCTACATTAACATTCTTCTTAAGTTTTAAGGTTTTAGAGCCAGCCATTATCTGTGACATCTATATACCCAAGTAATATAATAATTGGTATTCAAATCATGTAGAAGTTCACTGAAACTATCTGAACTTGGAATGACAAAATATTCTTAGACACAACTAAAAGTGCACATAGATTCTGGATCAGTATAGAAAAAAAACCTAAACTTAGTTAAAATTAAGGACAGAAGTTACCATATATTTAGCATAGTCATTCATAGCCAAATGGAGCCACTGATATTTTCTTTACAGCTGCTTCTATTAAGTGTTTGTCAGTTAATGATTTCAGTTGTATTATTAGTAGTCAGACCTGTATTCTGTTAGTCTTGAGGATTGCTACTTAAGGATATTTGAAGGCTAATTAGCAAAAAAATGGAAGCATAGATGTATGCAAATCTTACTTGAACAGTGCATAAGCCTGAGTGAACCTATTATTTATTGTAAGGTTGTTGGTTCAGTAATTTGAAATAAGCAAGTAACCCAAGCTATCCAATGTATAGCCGGAAAAGGGTTACTAGAAGCTTGGTTGTATTTATATAAAGATGTATTATGCTATTCCTATATGACTTATTAAAAGTTTGAAGCTTTTAGGAATATATTGTATATTTTTGTTGCATACTTAATGGAAGCTGAGTAACAGTGGTTCTCATGTACAGAGGGTTGAGTATATTATATTAAAATTATTTTGAATATGGAAATGAGCAAGTCACATGAAAACACAGCTGATATAAAGTTATGGTGGAACGACACCTATGAGAACTACATTTTAACATTGTTTGGTGTATTATAAGGAGAGTGATACCACTGAAAATTTTTTGCTTTTGGGAATAATATGTAACAGCCCTTTCCATTGAAAATATCATGAACTATGGTAGTGGTTCATAATAAGGATTGTCCATTTGTTGTTCTTTATTATTTAATATTGTTCCATCTGCGTACAATAAAAATGGCTGTGAGTATTGTAATAAAACGTGGGCAGTTTTACTAAATGCATCATTACACATTGTGTAAGGTAGTTTTTAAGTTTATTTGACTACCTATCAAATAACAGTGGCAGCATAGCTGTTCACCCCAAATCGTTTTAATGTAGTCTGTGGTTTATATGGAGCCACATAATCTACTACATGCATATGTATATAGGTGTATGTAGGCCATGGATGTAATTTGATGTTTATATGACAAGCATGACACATGTACCATAGCAGTTATTAACATATTGTTGCAACTGTATGGATGTTGCATGTCAATTGTTTATGTATAAGGTTCCTGTCCTTTTGGACACAGTGTAGCTGACAGGATCACAGTTATTATTTTACCACTGAATGATCAATTTTGGCCATGTTACTCAAAGGTCTAAAACTTTATATACAAATGTCTAGGCTGTCTCCAACAATTTTAAATCTTTAAGCCATAATTTGAAAGATGACAACTAGCTCAGTTTCAAGCATTGGATCAGCAATCATGGCGATGGCTGATGGTAAGTGTTGAATTATTGCCAACACTATGTGATTGCAAATTTTATGAATACTGCAGATAGAGTATTCATCCTTGAAGCTGACTATGAGGAATGGCAAGAATTGTGCAAGCAGAAGATGGCAAAAAAGATGCCGGTTCTAAAAAATGAGGCACAAATTTTGTAGCAATATATTTTAATTAGAAAATATTTAGTTTCAGATAAAGTATGCAGCAACAACAGCTCACCAGAGTTTAGGGTCATCACAGTGGAAGATGATCATAGAAGTTTCATGACCCAAACTCTATCAGAAATGGAGGGGGAAAAGGTATATTAGTATAATCAATTCATAGTTGTCAATTAACACATTTTTGACCTTGTAGAGTGTACAGAATGTCACTCTTAAGAGGAAATCTGGCTAGCTGCAGCAAAACTGTGACAGGCCTCACTATGGCCAGCAGAGAGGAGAAAGAGGAAGGGAGAAATATAACAATTACAAAAAATATTAAAAGTGCATACTTGTATAAATATCCTTTTATATTATGACACATTGGCTTATATTTGCATTTAACATATATGCATGCATTTATACAACTTGAATATTTCATATATATATATGGCTTTACAACTTAAGAAAACTATGAAGCCTGCATTTATATAGATAGATAGATAGTTATAAATATGAGTCAACATGCATTTCTAAAACTCATGCTTAGTTTAGTAGCCCTTCACTTCCCATGTATACATATAGTAGCTATTAGGGGTGAAATTCTGCTGGTACTCAGCAGTAATGAGTACCAGAACTTATTTTTTTAATGTACTACTAGTTACTATTACCGGGACTTATTTGAGCTGCTTTGTCATTTTTTATGTTTACACATAAATTGCTTTTTTTCGTTTTCAAAAACAGATCCACTTCGCTCAGCTGAGTACCTCTACTTTTTTTTCTTGAGAATTTCACCTCTGGTAGCTATAAATATTTTACAAGTATATACATAACATGTGATAGGGTGATCACCGTACATCATAGTGATCATACATGCAGTACCATTATCAGTGATAACATTGTGGCAATGATATCAGGAGCAATAGCCATCTAATCTATTTGAAGCCAATCCAGAGGTTGTCATTGTTTACCAAGATAACATCATACACCAACTAAGTATTTCATTAAACTAAACTGTGTCTAATGGAACACCATTTTTACTATACAGATTTATGTCCATGGTGAACATAAAAAAACTAAAGAAACAAGATTATTAAAAATTGTTAATTTAAAAGGGAAATAGCGATCTACAAAAAAGTGTGGAAACAAGATGTGTAGCTTAAAGTGAAAATTTAATCTTAAACAAACAAGCTTAAGGTTTGAGACATAGTGTTGACATTATTTCCTCAAGCTACAAATCCTTATCTTGACTTTCCTAAAATATTAAAGCTTTTAGACATGGAGTCAAAATATAGTTGACCCCCCCCCCCCACACACACACACACCATGTCAGCGGGACTGCATTAACCCAAAGCTATGTGAGAAAAGTCATCCATGTGTCCAAGGCAACAGTAAACAATTTAATAAAAAAGGAGAAGCAACAAAAGTTGTGTACATCAAGCAGTTGGAGAATGAAAATGGTATTCATGCTACTTCATTTGAAGATAAACTGGTCAAGTCACCAGAATAAGCATTTCCTACACTACAGAGAGGAAGATTGTGGCTTGAAACATGATAACCTTACCAATGGAGATTTTTGATATGGAAACTTTGCCACTATTGTAAAGATGCATGGTTGTCAGATAGAGAATGACCTGACATGGTGAAGCTCTAAAATAATTTTAATATAACATAATTAGCCTCTTTAATCCTTGTAAAAACTAAATAAATATGTCTGATTTTGATGTTTAGCTTCAAATTTTCCGAGTTTCCATGTTTGGGAATAAATTGGAAGATGTGATGACCCTTCAGAAAAGAAAGTATCCAAGTCGGAGACTTCCTTGGATCCAGACTACTCTATCTGAACTTGTTTTAAAACTGAATGGAGCTCAAACAGAGGGAATATTCAGGTAATTAATAAGCTACATTGTAGTCATTAATCTCAAAGTATGTAGTGGTGTAGATTAGGCAGAAGTGCTTAACGCATAATGTTATTAGTTATAAAAATAATCAAGACATGTGTAAAATAAGCAGAATAATAAAATAATGCTTCAATTCTGTTATCCACAATAGCTTCACTTTTAAAGTTCAGGTATTTTTAAGATTATGCAGAAAAAATAAGGAGTTTCTTGTTGTATGAGTTAGCTACAGGGTGTCCGAAGAGTCTGGAACCATAGGCACTTCAAAGAATTTTACAGACTATGTTCCACATGCTGTCTTTGTAATTTGAAACAAGTTTGGATTAACAGCAGGATTAACTCAACCTTCTCATGTTTTGACAGTGCCATAGTCAGTAATGTATTTGAAATTAAGAAAAGCTGCAAATCATCTATAGTTCCAGACTTTTTGGACACCTTGTACATTCATGTAGTTCCTTTGCTAGTTTTCTTACAGACATTTTACAGACTTGGAATTGTGAAACATGAAGAAATTCAAGTTTGGTTGTCTGTAGGACTACAAATTCCAGATTACTATGATTTTCTTGGTAACTCTACATGAAGTCTTGTGGTTGGAAATTCCTCATTCTAACTTAGGATTTGTTTATATATATAATATAGTATGGCTAAAAACACTATTTATTTATTTTATTTTTCTTAATTTTTAGGTTTACTAAATTACTAAAAACATTTGATTCAATATCACCATATGCCAAAATAGTGGACCTATTAGGCTCAGTGCTATTGTAAAAGGCTTAATTATTCTTCCATTCCAGTTGATGTTAGAGATTGTATATACATGCTAAATTAGGAGAAACATTATAACTGATGTAGAAGTCAGCAAGAATTTCTCCTTTAGATATTCTAAGGTATCTGAAACTTGTTGAAACTCCAAATACTTCTTTTAGAAGTGACTTTATAAATATGGTTATAAAACTTTGAGATATCACTGTATGTTATGGAAAGTTGAAAAGTCAAATTTGAAGTTATGTTATCAAAGGCTTAAAATGAGGAAATAAATTTACAGCACAGGTATTTTTTATGTGAAGAAGTAGTAAGCAGGAAATGTTAGTTGGAACTAGATTTAGACACAAAGCTCAAATTCAGTTGAAAATATTAGCAATTTTTTATCTATTCTTTTTTAATTTTTGTCTAAGACTATAAGCAATTTCTTTGAAAGTGGAAATATTTTTAATTAAAGAAAACATTTCAGTATAATGTCAGTGGTTAATGATATAATTTGAAAATAGCATATATGACACCAAAAATTGCAAGGTTTTTTCAATCAGCTCCAATAATCATTACTTATTTTTTTGTACTAGTGCATACAAATGTCTATCTTTTGGTAAACCTTGGGTAAAAGAAGCTCATATATTGTATAAGTATGATGTTTATTGATTAAAGTTGGGGACATTATATTTTCTAGATACAAATGATATTGTTACTAATAATTGCTAAGATTATTTTATTATTCAACATGTTATAGTTTTACAAATTACAGTAATGTATTTTTTGTGCTATGTTATTGAATATTATTAATGGCAATAACCACTAATTGTTTATTTGGTTATTTATCACAGTAAAATAAGATAAAAAAAATGATGATCTCTATTGCTGTTCATAAGGTTGTTTTGAAAGCATGTAATTGCTGTCATTGAATTATGTACATTTAAGGTTGCATGATATGTACTGTTGTACTGAAACATAAATAATCAAGGTTAAGATAAACAATTACAGAGTTTTATTATACACAAAGCTTGCATGTTAGTAGTGAATACCATGTGTTTAAGCTGCCCATATTATGTTTATTTTTTACTCTTTTTTTGTGATTATTTATGTACCCCTTCCTCCTAAAAACATATATCATATTTTTTAATCCATTTTAAATTGGATATATCAACTTGTACTTAAGGAAAAAAATTATTATTATGAATACTGTAACTTCAGGTTGTTAAACTATAAAGTAGTGTGTGGAGTATTACTGCTATTATATCCTGTAAAGTAACAGTTTAATGTTATATATATATAGAGAGAGAGAGAGAGAGAAATTCTTCATTAAAAAATGCATTAATGATCATAGTACTGTTAAAATACAAGTTTTTATTTCCTATTGCTTTCTGAAGAAAAAGTGTGCACTATTTTATTCCCTCTAATACAAAACTTTAAATAACTCATTACATCAAATATGGAAAATATTTTATATTGCAACTCATTTGGAAATTTTTTTGATAGAGGATATGTGGATTCAGATAAAACTGTTAATTATTGAATATGACCTAGAATATTTGTTTTCTACAATATGGTATTTCAGGGTTCCAGGAGATATTGATGAGGTAAATATAATGAAAGTGAAGATGGATCAATGGCAGCTGGTAGAATGTAACGACCCTCATGTTCCTGTGTCACTTTTGAAACTCTGGTATCGGGAACTTTATGAACCCCTTATTCCCCACATATATTATGAAGAATGTATCGAAAACTGCTGTGATCCTGTAAAAGCAATAGCCATTCTACATAGGCTGCCAGAGTTAAACCGCTTAGTCCTTGCATATTTAATCAGGTTCTTACAGGTGAGTTAAACAGCACTTAAAAGTACTAGTAAGATATCTCGGTCTTCCTCTGTCAAATGTGTCTTTAATACCTATTTCACAATTTCATACCACAGTAGTCATACTTTTTGCATGGAAGATTTTGTGGGATTGAAATAACCAACTGCATACTAAACAGTAATTTTTGGTTTACTTTCTCAAGTAAGAAGTTTGTCATCAGCCTTTTCTAATGTAAAAAATTGTAAATGAGGCATAAAATTTCTGACAAAACCAATCTAAAATGTTTTTATTTAGTAGAAACTGTTTAATAATGTATTAAATGATCCACTGCTTTCAAAATCTGTAAACATTCACTTCAATAGAAGCAAAAATAAAAACCATTGACTTTGTATACATGTCTTTAAATTTTATTAGATTTACTAAACATTTCATAAAAATATAAGTGGGGCTACAGACTTATTTAGGTTTCTGTGTGATTTAAATATGGATTGAAAATCTGTGTCTTAAGATGTACTTTTATGTCTGTTTTCAACATGATTAGTTAAGAAAATGTAAAATGTGATAGTTGCACATTTCTCAGTCAACTTGTTTAACATGATCCATTCTTTCTGCTGAAGCTATTTCATTTATTCGTTTTTAAAATATATGGCCTTATTATAAAAGGTATGGGCTTCAATTTTATAATAATTAAAACTTCAAGGTTATTACTGGCTCACATAGGGCCAGTGACACAAGGAGAGTTAAAGCTGGTAGCCTGAAGTGGTATTGTCAATAGAAAATTAAAATTAAATAAGTAAAAATGAATGAGAATGGGTAGCTTAAGTATATACTACTCCAGAGATAAAAAAAAAATTAACAAATAAACCAAAGCTTTGCTAATGGATTTTGACCATTTAAGAAAATTAAAACAAATAAAAGTTGGCTAGTGACTTTTGGCATTCTGTGAAAATAAACAGATAAATTTTAGCTAATGGCTTTTTTACCTTCTTTTATGAAAATAAAAACAAGTAAAACTTAGTCAATAACTATTAACCTTATTCTATGAAGTAAAACTTAGTCAATAACTATTAACCTTATTCTATGAACATTAGAATAGTGATTTAGATTATAAATTATTGTGCTCTAATTGAGTTGAAAAATGTTTTTAATATAGAATAATTCTGAATGTAAAAATATGTCTAGAATTGTATTACTGTAATGCTTCTCATAGGTATTTGCTGCAGAGGAAAATGTTGCAGTTACCAAAATGGACTCAAACAACCTTGCCATGGTGATGGCACCTAACTGTCTGCGATGTACTTCAGAGGAACCACAAGTAATATTCGAAAATGCAAGAAAAGAGATGGCATACCTGAGAACATTGATTCAGAATCTTGACACCAATTTCATGGAAGGAATTGTGTGATATATCTATATGACTTCGAAAATACATGTTGCATGGAAGTGCCTTTTTTTAAGAGGCTTAACCAGTTTTCAGTATTACATTCTTGTAATCTCAAACTGAATTTTATGGAAACAACTTAACAATGACTATCACTCAAAAGGTATATACAACAACAGAGAACTTGTGCATTACTAAAATAATATAATGTGCTTCATATTTTTTAAAAATATTTAATATGTTGTTTTATGTTTTTTCAACAAAATGCTATGCTACTATCCTAGTCTGTTTTTTGTTTGGTGCATACTTGAGAAACAAACAAATAACAAAACAAGTGCATGTGAGATAATGCAACGATGCAGAGGAAATTAAGAATACTCACTGACAGAAGAATTGGAGTAGCAAAATGTGTTAATACAGCTTCTTTCTAAAATGTATATTTTTATCTTTGTTTAGCCAAACACAAGAAACTTTAGAAATACAGCTAATAAAGAGTGTTGCTTTAGGTAGCTATTTTGTAATGTTTTGAATTGTTGATATTTGATAAAATTTCTTTATAAATATAGTATAAGTTCAAATTAGGCACATGTACGTTTTTGTATAGTAGCTTGACAGTAAGTACCAGGTTTGGTTATATTTCATATTTATTCTGGTGATTTATTACATATAAGTGGGTGTGGTAGAATTGCATGTATTTTTCATTATTTCCTGTTTCTTGGGTATGTAGATTATATTCTATGTTCTCAAGAATCAAATTTTAAGTATTAACTAGGAATGATTAATGTATATATAGACATATAAATCACATAAAAAAGTTTATTCAAAACTCTTGAATAGGAATGATTTTTTCTTTCAGTAAAACATATTCATAATGTTGAAATCAAAACTTTAACCAATAAGTCTACCTTTAACTTTTTGAAACTATGATGTTTGCATAAGATCCGTCTGTTTAGCTAAAAGCAAAATGGCAGAACTTCATTCATTTAATGTTTTTTTTAATAAAGGTGCTCATTGCTGAAACTTGGTTTAAATATATTATGCTCCTGAAGTTTTAAAATCAATATCTTGATATCATTTTCTCTATATGTCAATTAAATCAGTTTAAAAGATTTTAAATTCTTTAATTTAATTGGAAAAGTTGAAGTTCAGTTACTTAGTATCATTTCAAACCTGGTACACATATTCCATTATAACACAGCTGTCAGATGAAGAGCTTTGAACTGTGTAAAATAAGCTTTTAAATGTCCATTTTTATGCACAATATAGTGGTTAATTGCTATAAAGGTAAAAACGAGGTAGTTTATGTTTTGGTAAGCTTCATTAATATACATAATTTCAATTTTGAAAAAAAGAACATTTTTTATATACGCTAAGTGTTTTAATACATGATACAGTTTTGTAATGCTGATAAAAGCTGAGGATATATTTGTCTTTGTGCTATTTTTGTATTTTACTCTTTTCATAACAATTAGTAACAAATTATCAACATATCACTAACCTATAGCACTGATTGCTTATTGAAATCAAAAAGTTATTTTTATCTAAAAAAATTAAACTTCTGCTATTTTTGGAGTCAGTAAATAAAACCACTAAGAAGCTATCTAGCCTTTGAAGTGACAATCAGTTTATTTTTTATGTAAGATAGTGTAATAAAATAACAAGAATAAAACTAATAATTTTTTTTAACATTTAATCACAAACATATCCAGTATAGGTTTTCAGTAAAATAATTAAGTCATGTGCTCAGTATTACTTTTGAGTAAGACTATTGTTTAGACTTGCCTGGCTCAATGAGCATTAATTTTGAAAACAACAACTTATAAACAAGAGTGTACAATAAAGTAATTGAAATACTGATAATGCACTCATCTTGTTTAAAAACTGGCTTGAGATTTTTAACAATGTTTCAGAACTTATTAATAAGCTTTTAATAATCTTTTATCATACTTTCTAGCTTAAAAAATGCTTAATGCTGATTTGGTGTTGTACACCTATGATGCAATATCATTTACTTCTTTCATTAATGATATGATAAAAAAGAAGTAGAAATAAATTTTTTAAGACTAAAAACTAGAATGTTGTAATTTTGTATAAAATGTGTTTATCAATGTACTATGATAAAAGTGTTCAAAGTAATGTAAATGTCATTATATTTTATAATTATGAATTGCTTGCAAGCTACCTCAGTCTATTAATTTTACTATATCTTTATTAGTAGTAGTTCTCTGTGTATCTTTTTCCACTGCTTTATTATGTAGGGCTTTTATTAATATTGAACTTATTGTATGGTGTTCATCTAAATGTCTAGTAAAAAGATTGTATAACATTTATTTTGCATTTAGGATAGTTGTGCATAAAATATTTATTGTGGCTTTAGAATTATTGTTTAGGGAAATAGCATAGATTGGTGTTGCCACACCATTTTCTTAAACAGCTGGTTAGAGATTCAGAATGAAACTCAAATATATAAATTACTTGTTAAACAAGTTTTAGATACTACCCTTTTAAAAGTATTTGAGAAAAATTAAGAATAGTGGGAGTTGCACAAAATCATCCCCCCTAGAAATATTAAAATGAGAAAAACAGTTTACATTACTTTCATTTATTTTTAATCATTTTTAGATATTTTTAGCAATGTAGGTACAAATATTTTGTGATATTACTAACTTCCTATAGTCTAGTGGCCACATAAATTGATGTACCAAGTAGATGCAGTACTGTATATGTATTAATGTGAGAAAATTAAGCCTAACATGACACAAACAAAGTTTTTGCTTTCTTATGTGATGTCACTTTAGTAATGTATTTATATCATAATTTCTTACACATTTTTAAATAATAATTTTTGATGAAAGGGTTATTTCACATTTAGAACTCTCTTAAAATAATCATCTATGTAGGGTACAATTTCAAATTCTGAGACTTGGAGCATAAAACTTGTGAAACTGATTGTGGATAGCACATGAATGTGTACTGATGTGAAAAAAGTTACAATGTTTTCTTTTTGTATTAATTTGCTTATCTATTAAGTGCCAAAACTTTAACTATGTGATCTGAACTTTCCAATGAAGCCTTATGTTTTGCTACCACCAATGGAATTTTAATGTAACTGTAACAACAGGGAGTATAAAAGTTTCTCATAGGAAATTAAATTAAATGAGATAAAGCTTTAGAGAAAAAAATATGAGGATTAAGGTTACATTAATTAGTAATAGAAAATGGTTTAACAGTTGATTGGAATTACAATGATCATTATAGTTTTCTTTTTATGACTTTTAAAGAACATTTATTGATAGTTTTGCAATTTCTTTGCACAGTGAAATAACAAAAAAGCACTTTTTTTATTGTGCCAAGTGCAGTGCAGTGGCTAATGTGTTAGATTGTGGAACTAAGTTTCTATGGTTTGTGTCCCATTACCATCAGAAACATAAAATCTTGATGCACACTTTGAAGCATGAGTGTGTTATAAGAATGATGGTCAAATTGCTTTTTTGTCTGACAAGAGTAGATGTCTAGCTGCGTTCCTTATAGTTCATCACTTCAAAATTAGCCTTGTGTAGCTTTGCATGAAATCAGACAATGCTACAGTACACAGGAAAATGGGGAAAACTGAAATGCCTTAGATATATGCTTAATGACCTTCAGAAAAATAATATTTTATTTCTGTGGACTGTTTCATCAAAGTAGTGTTCAAAATTGAAGTTAAGCTACAAAAAAATGCATGTTGTAATATTTCATTGCTTTTACTTTGATTAGTTTTCTTCATATCTACAGAAAAAAAATACTATAAAAAGCCAAGACTTTTTTACATAGTTTTTATTACAAGTATGTAAAATAAATTGTAAACTATATTTTATAAGAAAAATCTTTTTTTTTTTTTTGTGGTAACTGTATTCAACTGACAGTGTTTACACTTGAAACAATTACTAAACTAGTTTTGAAGAAAGTCCATTTACAAAAATAAATTCATTTATTCATGTAATATATTTTGGAACAATAAATATATGTATGTTGTGTACATTTTAGCAATAAACTTGATTATGTTGATTATGCGAAATGTATTTGATTAAGTTACATACTTGTTATGGTAAAGCTGAATCACTGATGTATGTCCATGTTCAATTTTTGCATTTTCCATGTGCATATAAATCTGAATTTAGTTCATACTTAATGTAAATATAGACAATAAGTAAATATTAATTAAAATTCAGGATTGAATGTTAATGCAAATATAACACGTTGTAAGATATTAATATTTTTATTCTTCAATCAGAGGGTGTCCAAAAATACATTTTGAATTTAAATTATTATCAAAACACATGGATCTGTTGAGTGGCTATGAACTCTGGTAGTAGGTATGTCTTAAGTTTAACAATGTGATATTTGTACTTCTACATCAAAGCCTAAAGAAAAAGAGCCCACCCTTAGTGTGCCTCATGATGCCACTATGTGAACCTGGTACAGCGACAAACACAGTATGACACTATCTGCCATGTCTTCTGTAGCATATTCAAGAATTGTGACATCTTTAGTGTGCCATGTGATGCCACTAAGTGAACACGGTCCAGTGACAGCACAACAATATGACACCATCTGCCATCTCTTCATTAACATAGTCAAGAGTTGTATCAGTTATTAACTAACCTGATGTGATTGGTTTGTAGCAGGAACCAAAATATGAAATGTACTTTTAGTTCAAGGAAAGTTTTTAATTCAATTATGAAATGACCTATTATGGTTGATTTTGAATTTGGCTTTAAAGCAAGGTGTTGCTGGTTTAGGACCAAGACCAGGTTATGAATTTGTTCTGAAATAATGTATTATAGGAAATTGGTTCATGACCAGTCTTTAAAATGATCAATTATGACCAGTTGAAGCCAGAATCAATCTGAAATTGCTATTTTTAAAGTGAGGTCAGACATTGAACTACATATAAAGAAATATGAGAATAATATGAAATCAAATACAAATAAGAAGAAAAATTGTTATGATAAATAACTGTTTAATGTAAAGTATTATTTAGTTAAGAGACCACAATTTGTTTTTAATAAAACCACTAGTAGAATTAAGGTAAATGCTTAATTTACTATTGCATTTTGAAACTGAAAGCATCATTATGAAATGACATTTCCTATAAAAGTAAGAATAAAACTGATTAGATTCATAGATAAAGTATTGAAAGAAATCTTTTTTGTACTGTTAAGATATCTTTTCTGGTGGCTTCTGGACATGTTTCAGAAACCTGCAGAAATCTAATGTTTAGAAACAACTGCTACAAAAGAAATTGATTTAAAGAAATGTCTCTTTCTGAAAATATGAATCACAACTATAGAGTTTATTTCTAAAGTCAATTATCTATCTTCTTTTAGAATGTTCATCTCTTGGGTAAATTTTCATTTTGACATGTTAGATCCTTGTTTTTCTATTCCACAAAAGTTGATCACAGGTATATGAATCATGCTGGTTTTAGTATTCATCACTTGATGCTTATTTAAGTAACATTTCCAATGTAAAACATTTTCCAAAAAAAATGCATAAAAATGCAGGTGTTTATTGAAGCATTTACATGTAACAAGCTTAAACATTTTATGTTTTCTTGCTGGGAATATTTTAATCTTGTTTCAAGAAAAGTTTGTTGAAAAACTGCTTTCCATATCTAACGTACATGTTTAGGGTTTCATATCTACTATTAGAAAAAATATAATTAGGAGTATACAGAATAAACATTTATCTTAGATGATAATTTGGTAACCTCTGAAACGCTCTTCGAAAGTCATTTTTGTAGAAATGGAACCAGAAAATTATGCTAATACAATAGGATTATAAATCACAGAAATATCTTAAATTTTTGGAACCAAAGGAAATCAAGTAGTTTATGTTTACAAGCAAATGATCTTTACTTACTTCAAAACAAAAGACTGTAGAACGATGTTAATACAGGATGGAGTACATATGAAAAATGTACTTAATGGTTATTATAGATTAAAATAGTCTGTTGTCAAGTGCTGAAGCTACGAAGTGATATTTTTTTTTATGTACAATGACAACAATATACTTTAAATACAAAAAAAAATTCTCAATAAAATATTTAATAGCGTAAAGTCTTTTGTAGTCAACAAAATATATGTGTACACTAAAGTTCTGAGTTTGTTACATCAGCTGTGTTAACTTACACAAAACAATTTTGCAGACTTGATGTGGATAAATGGCCCGCGTTTAATTCACACCACTTAAAACATTCTAACTTTATACTCTACAATTCAAGTTTTGTCCAGATTTTAATTTAATCTCTTTTGATTATTATTACATACAAATAATTTTAATTTCTAATGTCATACTTAATCAAGATCTGCCCATCTCTTATCATTTCCTGTTGATTTTGTATCGGTGTTCCCCCCTCCCCCCACCCTTTTAATGTTTTCTTTACTTCATGCTATTCAACACAGACACCTTTAGTTATCTCTTAATTACATGTTAAAAAAAAAAGTTCGTCTCTAGTTATCTTTCAACTTGATGTCAGTCAGGTTTATTTCATAGCAACAAAAATTCCTCCATAAATGTAGTTATGTGTCAAGACAATATAAAAGTTTCTGATCTTTACGTGAAATGAAGATGAATGTGCACTAGACCACACAATCTCAAAACGTTAACATTTCTATTAAGAAGCAGGAGTACTAAATGTATATTACAGTGTGCTATTTACTGAGCAAGTAGACAAACTTATATGACATTTATTTAATTAAACATGTGCTGTAAAAACTTTTCACATTTCTCAACTTTAAGGAAGAGTTAATGATTTTTAAGAATACACATGTAATGTGGTGAGAAAAAATTTCATTAAAATTTGTGAAAACCTGTTAATTGTAAAGGCGTTTTCGAAAAATAGATCAGTAGCTGGAAATATCAATAGTTGACCTAATTTATTAAATTATTATTTGAGTGAAATCATTACAAATGATTCAGTTTTATAAAATGGTGCAGTTGAACACTGGCGTATTTAGGAAAAAACACTATCAGTGCCATAATCAATATTTTATTAATATACAACACAAAACTCAAGGCAGCTAGTTATCACTGCCAACTTTTTGGCTACTCTTTTACCAACGAATAGTGGGATTGACCGTCACATTATAACGCACCCACGGCTGAAAGGGCGAGCATGTTTGGTGTGACGGAGATTCGAACCCGTGACCCTCAGATTGGGAGTCGAGCGCCTTATCCACCTGGCCATGCCGGGCCCCCAAGAGGTTTGGAAAGAGTACCTTATGGCCGATCAGTCGAGAAGGTCGAATGTGCTAACCACGTGGTCAGGAAATACAATAAGGTATTGCACAACAATGCTAACGAAAGCATAGTGAATGCAAAATACCTGTCAAATTTAAGAATAATTCGCCTCGAAAAAAGTGCAAGAGGTTCAATTCGACAAAACAGTAAAAAGTCCAGTAGTGTACAGAAGCTCATAGAGATCAAAAGAATGGTCCATATCATGTTTTTGGAGGCCACGAAAAATATAAACCTTATTTTTGTTCATAAGTCACCAACAACAATGAAACAAACAATATTCTAACAATGCCTCGTTCCATTCTCACAAGAATTATGACTGCTGTAGACATGCTTGTACGAAAATCCGACGGACTAATTTCAAACGACACTAGCAATCTTGACGAATCCTATATACACGTTGTTACGAAATTCATCGGAGGAAAACAAATCAGTAGGTCATATTAAGGTGCTAGTTTTTCATACCAACTTTATCATATCATACTTTAGCTTGGAAATTTTCTTTAGCAAAAGTCCATCTACTATATTGAAAAAATACGCAGTGAAAACAGAGATACAACGATGTCGGTCACGAAGACGGCTGCAGATGTCCGAGACAAAACAAAAACAAAGAGAGAAAAACGCTGTGAAGCTATTAGCAAACAATTTTGAATATGGACAAAATAGTCAGCAACCTGATTTAGCAGAAAATGAATATGAAAGAAGAAAACTAATGGAATTGCAGAGATCAAATGAGATTAAGGATAAAATTGAGAGCGAAACAAAGGGACAGATCAGAAACCCAAAATGGACAGAGAAGTAAAAGATTGACAGCCTCACACTTTGGCGACGTATACAAGATGAGAGAGAGACAACATCATGTGACTGCCTCGTAAAATGTATTTTGTACGTTGACCTAAATACACCAGCTGTTGAATATGACAGACAAAATGTAATTCTTGCGTATACCAACGCTACAGGCATAACTGTCGAACCTTCACGCCTATTTGTAGCTGTTGAAAACGGATTCTTTGGCACATCGCCAGATGGACTGTTTGGAGGTAAAGAAATATTAGAAGTGTCCCAAAAGTGCCGAGTGTATTCCATTAATTGAAGCTTCTAAAACGATGAAAAACATCTGCTCTGTGGAAAATGATAAACTAAAAGAAAACCATAGTTATTTCTATCAAATTCAAGGGCAGCTGCATATTACAGGTAGAGATTTTTGTGACTTTGTTCTATGGACACCTAACGAGATGCTCCCCAGTGGCACAGCGGTGTGGCTACGAACTTACAACGCTAGAAACCGGGTTTCGATATCCGTGGTAGGCAGAGCACAGATAGTCCATTGTGTAGCTTTGTGCATCATTACAAACAAACGTAAAAGGATAAACATTCAGAGAATAAAGAAAAAATATAATTTCTGGGAATCACAAATGTTTTCCAAGCTGTATTCGTTTTTTTTTTTTTTTTTTTTTTTTTTTTTTTTTTTTTTTTTTTTAGTTAGTACGTCTTACACAGTAGTATAATAAGT